TGCTAACCAAGGAGACCCAAGGGGCAGAGCAGGGATGGTTGGAGATGCTGCTATCCCCTACAATATCGTGTTAAATGAGGAGATGCCATCTTGTTAAATGTGGTGCAACAGGGAGTGGTGGGGACTGTGGCTACTGCGTCTGCAAAGCTTGAAAGGCATTACATTTGAGGATGTTAGAAACATGGGAAGGCCTGTTTGCAAACCACAGGTCTTTATTTCCTTCCTGAAGCTCTCTATGCCTCTATTTCCTCACTTGAAAATAATAAATAAAGAAATAACTGAGTTACAAGAATTAACTATGTACTATTCTAAGTGCCGTATGTCCATTGTGCAGCAACACACTTAGCCCTTTCAGTCAGGTGTTACTATAATCCTCTTTTAGGTCTGGAAACTGAGGCACACTGGAGTAAAGCAGCTTGCCTGGAGCCCCACAGTATGAAGTGGAAGAGCTGGGATTCCAAGCCAGGCAGTGGGCCCCAGAACCCATGCTGTCAACAGTCCTCTGATTGGGTTGAGCACTTGGTCCAGTGCTCAGTACATGTTGGCTATGGCTATGTCCCAACAAAAATTGCGTGATTGCTCTGCCAGGGCCATCTTCTAGCTAAAGCTTGATTCTGTGGACTCCAGCAGTTCTCCAAACACCCTCCACAACCCACATGCCTCCCTTTATGAAGACTTTCTTATCCTAGTGCCTTTGGCAAAGATGTGCGGAAGGTTCTCACTGGAGAGGACCCTACAGACGATCTAGCTTCACAGAGATGAAAAATGAGACTGAACAGAACAGGAACCTGCCCCAGCCACATGGCTTGTCAAAGGCAAAGTAGGGTCTCTTGATTCCCAGTCCAGAGCTCTTGTGACTCACTGTTGTCCCATTCTCACCCTATAGTCATCACAGCCTTTTTTCCACATCTGATTAAACAAGTGCCTGTTGAGGTCTTCACTATAAGATAATGGATGTGAAGTCCGTGGCACAAAGCTGGGCACCAAGAAGGCTATCAGTAAGGGATACTCCCTTCCCTTCCTGGGGCATGTGAGGTTTCCAAAGAGGCCCAGGAAGCCTCATCTGAACCTTTCTCCCCTGGCCAGTCAAGATAGGCTCTCAGCAGGGGTCCTTTGGTCACCACTGTCAGCAGCTCAGAAGAGAGGCCAGGAGACAGGTGTGGTCCTGGGGCAGGGGCCTCAGCAAGTTCCCACCTTCCTTAGAGCAGGAAGCCCTGGATAGGGAAAAAAAGGTCCCCAGACCACCACACCCCTACCTTTTAGGAGAGAACTCCCAGGAAACCCTGAAGTTGTCTCTTTAGAGATTGAGAACAGGGACTTTGGAATCTGTTGGACCTGGGTTAGAATCCCAGTCCTGCCACTTGCAGGCTGCTTGACTTTAAGCAATTTGCTTAACTTCTTGAATCAGTATAATGAAAACAACAATTCCTACTTCACTGTAAAGAGTAAACACACAATAATGTTGGCAACTATTGTTTGTAACTAAATTTTATTATAACATTTTTCTAGTATAGCATAAAGAGAAGAGATGAATAGTCAATTAATATAATATTGTATTATTGTTACACTCTAATAGACGTATACACAATTCATCCATATGCACAAACCTAGATACCTATAATCTTATAACCACATACACAAATTTACATCCTTTACACAAACCCCACAGTACCCAAAGAGCAACATCATGTACTCACCATGAGGCAGGCACTGCTGCACCCTTAATCCTCACAACAGCCTGTGAGGTGAGCGCATTTTTATCTCCCTCCTTTCAGATGAGGATATACACACCACATGCATACACGCTCACTGCATCCTGGGATGTGGACATTTCTGGCAGCTCTTGGAACCCTGAACTTTTCCCTCCGATCAGAGGAGGCCAATTCAATTTCCACAGTCATCTCCAGGGCAGCCCCAACCCAGGCCCCAAGTGCTGAATGCCCTCCATCCCCAGGACAAAGGCCCAACCTGGCTTTCATGACAGCTGCGGTTGGGGAAACCCCTGCTGCCGGCAGAAACTGAGCTGACTTCGAAAAGGAAGAGACAGAAGCCAGGGGGTGGCTGGGCCACTCCCTGTGGGGGCAGGTGCTAAGTAACTCTATAAACTCTGGCTAATGATGCAATTATAGCCATAAACAGCACCCCAGGAGGGATCCGGGCCAGAAGCCAGACCCTCAAAGGGCAGCCAGAACTGAGGGGTGGGAGTTCCCTCTCACCTACCTCCCAGCTTCCCAAAAACAGGTTGAGAGGAAGGCCTGATCGGCAGTGGGCACTGAGCACCCCACTGTCCAGGTACCCTCGATGGGCTCCTGCCTGCCCTGGCCCACACTCTGCCCACCTCTGACTATGAGTCACCAGACCATTAGCCCTCAAAAGCCCAGCTGCTCTCCCTGGATTCAGTGCTCACCTGAAGAGATGTATCCTGCCTTATCCCCTGTAACCCTACCATGGGACCTGGAAACAAGAGCCCTAGGTCCCCATTTGGCTCCATCTCATAGAGCTGAGCTGAGGACAAAATAGCACTGCAGCTGTAACAGGCCTTGTAAACTGTAAGCAACACTGGCTCCCCTCCAGGAGAAGCAGAGCATGGAGTCACCCCAAACAGCCCTGCCCTTCATTTATACGCTCTGGTTCCCAGTTCTTCAGTCCCAGCAGCCAGGAGGCAGGCAGAAAGAAGGGGGCCAAACGAGTTGCTATTTTTCCCTGGGCTGGGGAAACTGAGGCATGGTAAAAGCATACCGTCAGACTACCAGGCAGGGCTCCCAAAGCAGCTGACCCTTCCCCTGTCCCCTTTAACTACCTCTCACTGCCGGCCAGTAACTATTGCTGGCCGTCTCTTCCCCAGACTGTGAGCTCCCTGAGGGCAGGGCCTGGAGGCTGTCTCCCAGGAGGGGCACTGAGCGGGCCTCAGAGGGAACAGGCCAAGGAGCTGACCTGAGCGCTTCTGCATCCAGCGCCCCAGAGGAAACCAGAGACAAGCCCCCCACCTCACCCCCAGCTGCCCAAGAGCGCCAGGTCTGAGCCAGTGGAATCTCGGCCAGGGCGAGTGCAGGGGCCTAAGGCAACATCCAGAGGTGCCACTGGAGGCCTACACCGGCCTTGTCCCCTTCCCTGTTCAATTAAACACCCCCTCACTTGGGGCTGGGGAGGTGGCAGCTGGGCAGTCATTAACCTACACTTCCCCAGTGAGCTCTAAGCCAAAGAACTGAGCTCAAGTTCAGTCCAGAAACTGCGCTGAACCGTCCCCAGAACGGACGAGAGACGAGTGGACGACGGCTGGAGCTGACGAGAGATTGGGGAAGAGCGGCCGGGTGAGGGGCTGGCGGAGAATGGAGGGCGGGGGCCCGGGCAGAGCAGGCGCTCGATCAGACGGGCCCCGCCCCGGACGCCCCCCCTTCCCCCCCCGGGGCGCGGGGCTGGGGCTCGCCGGGCGGCTGCGGCGCGAACCTGCTCGCGCAGCCGGTAGCAGCTCGGGGCAGCCGTGCGTGAAG